TGACTGAGTGATGCCTTTTGTCAGTAATGGTCTTTGACCTTTTCTCAATCCAGCCTGAATTTCTGGTAGTTCCCTGTTGATGTACTGCTCCAGCCATTCTTGAGTAATATTTAGCAAGATTTTACTTGTGTGTTACAGTGGTGTAATGTATAATTTCTGCGTACTGTTCAGTCACATTTCCTTAAAATTGGAAATATCATGGACCAGGTAGCATTCTCTAAATGTCTTGGCATAGATGACTAAGAGAGTCCAGCATTATGTCTGTTGAAATTTATGAGTGATAATCTGTCAGTATGAATCTTTGGTATGGCTTATACCTTGGCATCAAGAAAACAAGACCAAAAGATAGCATCTTGGTAAAATGGAGAAAAGATTTGAGGATTTCTTTTTACTTGGATTTATAATCAAGGCCCATAGAAACAACATTCAGGAAATCAAAAGATATGTTCCCTTGGGCAAATCTGCGGTCAGAGACCTCTTTAAAGTGCTAAAGAGCAAGAATGCCAGTTTAAAGATTTGGATGCATATATCCATCCCAATACCAAGCCACGGAGTTCTAGGGAACTCCAGTGGCCTAGTGGTAAGGAATTGTCCTACCATTCCAAAGATTTGAATTCACCAGCTGCTCTGTGGGAGAAAAATGGCCAGTCTCCTCCGTCTCTGATAACCGGTCAGAAAGTCAGCTGTGAGTCAGTTCTGACTTGTTGGTACATAACAACAGCATGATGTTTTAGATGCAGTCAGGAACGTTCAGGGTGGTATGGCGTAGACAACAACAACAACATGATGTTTTAAATGGCTTCATATACACATGAAAGTTGGACAGTAAATATGTTGCTCTTGCCATCGAGTCATCTGTGACTCATAGCAACCCTATGTACAACAGCCCTAAATCCTGCTCTATCCCTTGCCAATCTTATTGTCTCCAACACACCCATCTCCATTACCCCAGTGACAGAACCAATCAATCTCATCGAGGGTCTCCCTCTCCTGCGCTGTGCCTCTACCCTCCCCAGCATGACGTCCCTCTCCAAGGACAGATCCCACCTTGCAACATGTCCAGAGTATGTCAGACAAAGCTTCAGAATCCTTTCCTCCAAGGAGCAGCCTGGCTTCACCCCCTCTAGAGCGAACTTGTTTGTTCTCCTAGAAGTCCATGGTATATTCAATGCTCTTCTCTAGCACCAAAGCTTTAAAGGCAACACCTCTCCTTTTATTATCCCTAGTCAATGTACAAGCTGTATCTGCAATGTGCCCCTTCGCTATTATCTGAGGTGACTTCCACCGGTGCGCAGCTTCCAGGCTTCCCCTCTGCCCAGGGGCACGCTCTCCCTGTCCCCCCAGCACCTCCTCCCGACGGCTCCACAGTCAACACTCTTGGCACCAGCAGTCAGGAAATCAAAAAGCGTATCGCGATGGGAAAGTCTGCTCTTAGGGACCTCTCTAAGGTACTCAGGAGCAACAGTATCTCTCTGGAGACTAAGGTG